CAAGACCAGAGATATGCGGTTCAAATCCACCAGATGCTCTGCTGGAGAAGGAGGAGGCAATCTCCTCCTGTACCAGTCAGATTTGATTTGACGGTACACGTAAAAAGAACCCAATTTAAAAAATAAAATAATAATTAGAGAAAAAAAGAACATTCATTATGTTTGTAATATTTCTAATACTCATGAGGGAGTAGATCTGTATAACAGTAAGACACAATAGTCGTTTTTCTGGATTGGAGGATTGAATATGTATGTGAGAATGAAAGACTAAGGCATTTTTCTAGATCAAAATTGAATGCCCCTTAAGTGTAAGAATACTATTGTGGTTTAAATAACAGGCTTTATTATTAACACTATATAATTGAAAGAATAATGACCTACATACATTTCAGCATGCTCGATAGTTTTATTTTTGCCAGGATGTTGTATAAATGAAATAATATTGTGTAGCTTTTTATTTCTCCTAGATAAACTAATTTGATTCCAGATTATATGTTAAGTGTTACAAGAAACTGTCAAACCTTTTTTCTAGAATATGTACTATTTTGTATTTGAGTGCATTAAGAAAAATTTTTGCTCTTTTAAATAATAGACATTTTAATATCTTTAGTTTTCTTATGTTGAATCTTTTTGGATTCCGGGTATCAGCTATTGTTGTTGTTATTAGTCGCGTAGGACTCATAGTGACCCTATGAACAAAAGATCTGAAACCAGTCCTTTCCTGTGCCATCCTCAGACTTCCTGATACACAAGAGCCCATTACAGTGGCACCTTGTCAGTCCACCTGTTTGAGGATCTTCCTCTCCTTCACAGACCCTCCACCCTTCCCAACATCATGTCTCTATCCAAGGAATAGCACCTCCTAGCAATATGTCCAAAAAGACAGTGGCCTGAATCACATGCACCTTTGTCTTCAAACTGACATCACTACTTCTTAATAATTTGGAAAGGTCCCTAACTGCACATTTTCCCTTTGGAATGCGTCTCCTTATTTTCTGACTGTTTGTACCAAACAAGGGTTTTAATTGTAGATCTGAACAAGATGAAGCTGTTGGCAGTTTGTCTCCTCTCCATCCATCATGATAGCGCCTACTGGTGAAGGACAGATAATCGTTTTCATTCTCTAAGAAGTATTTTTCATAGAGTAGAATTTTTCATTTTGGTGAAACTCAATATCAGGCTTTTTGTGGGTGGTTTTTCTTCTTCCAGTGTCAGTTTCATAGATCTGAAAACTCATTATGATCTTACAGATTGTTCTTGTATGTTTTCTCTTCAGTTGTTTGTTGTGTACCATAGAGTAAGAACCAACCTACGCACCCTCTAGTGGTGGTTTTTTTTTTTAAGAGGCAGTAGACCCTACAAAATTAGATTGCCCACCTTTCTCCCACAACACAGTTGTTGGATTTGTCCTGCTTGCCTGCATTTGGGACGGCAGTGCAACTCCTTGCCTTCTTGTTTGAGGTGTAGGTATATATTTTTTGTCCTGTGATTGCCCTTAGTTTTTTATATGCCACAAGATGTCATTTGTTGTCTTTGTATGCTTGTACAGTTGGGTTTTTATTCTCCTTTCTTCATTCTTTGCCTTTGCATCTTTATTTTTAAAAATATCAGTATTTAATCTACTTCTAGATTTTACTCTGTTCTATTGGTGTGCTCTATTACATTAACTTTAGTTAATCTTGAAATAAGACTTATCTTTGTTGGTCTTCAAAATCGTTTTGGCTGTTTTAAGTTTCTTTAAATACATTTTCAGAAACAGCCTGTTAATTTCTACCAATAAAAAGTTGATCAGTAATTTTATTTACTTTACATTGGGGTGATCTTTATTTCAGTATGTTTCATTAGTATTTTAAAATACTAGAATACTAAAATTTAGATTTGTTTCATGGGTTTTGTTGCCATCATAAATAGTACATACTTTTATCATTTATAAAGAAAGGCTTAGTGGCAAGGACTTGCTCTGCGCCAACGCACACAGTTAGATCCACCATTGCTCAGTTGAAAGTTGGGCTGCCATCTCCTTTGTGTGCACCTCTGAAAGCCTGCCAGAGGATCAGCTGAGCTGCCTCTGACTTTACAAAATAGTACATGCTTGGACTCACTAGTATAATCATTTCCATTAACTATTGATGTAGTATTTGAATGTTGTTACATGCCGTGCCTGAGACTCACTGTGACCCCTGTGTACAACAACTCTGAAGCCTGCCCTGTCCTGAGCCACTCCTACTCCGACACATCTACCCCCTTGCCCTAGTTACTGTATCCATCCTATGGGGCTCTTCCTCTCCTGTGCTGTCCCTTCACCCTTCTAACCATGATGTCCTTCTCCAAAGACTGGTACCTCCTAGCCACATACTCAAAGTATGTGAAACTGAGCTTTAAAAATCCTAGCCTCCAAGGAGAAAGTTGGTTTCACCTTCTCTAAAAGAGACTTATTTATCCAGCACCAAAACTCAATGGCATCAATTCTTCTGTCATCCTTTGTCATCTCAGATACATAGCAAGTAATTGCAAAGACCATGGGCTGGATTAGGCGCACTTTAGTCGCTCTAACAATGCTTTGTTTTTGCTTTTTAAAAAAAAAAAAAACAAACATAAAAAACACAACACTCACGACTCCATCTGAGGTATGCATTTAGTGTATTGTAGTAAACACCTTAATAGATGTATAAATATGCTCAGTGACAGAAGATTTAGTTGGGGTCAGAGCAGCTATCCTCTTCAGTCAATTTTATGTTTTGGGGGGGGTGCTTGAGATTGACAGCTGTTAACTGGTTAACAGAGGACTGACTAAATCATTTGAAAAAGCTATGCTCTTCAATCAATTTTATTGGTTGGGGGGGGTGTTTGAGGTTGACAGCTGTTAACTGGGAAACAGAGAACTAATCATTTTTAAAAGCCTTTTCTTTGTTCAATTGATGAAAATGCTCAGAAAGGACCATTGAATAGTTTGAGCCTGGGGAAATATATCATAGATGAGAGGGAATATAAGAAAGTAAAATGTAGACCAACTTTTAGTTCTATTTCTAAATGTAAAGTCCTATTAGTGTTGATATGCAGGCTTTTTTGTTTTTCACATGTTGGGGGGAGGATTTCTCTTGGATTCTTACCAGTAGTCTAGTATCTAGAGAAAAAGGAGTATTAATTTTGTGCTTGTCCTGTGAAATGATAGGTGTTTTAATCTTCCAGTCATTTAATCATGTTGATGACTTCTCATTTTTTAGGTCCCTTTTCTAAATGATGCAAATAAAATGAAACTGACAGTCTCATCAGATAAGTGTTTTAAAATTTTTATATGTGTGTGTATTTTATTTGGAGTTTGTACACCAAAACTTTGTTCTTTAATTTTTTTTCTTTTTTTAGGTACCACTATCAACAAGACTCACACTAATAAGGTATTATTAATACTTATCTTGAACTTTTGTACTATTTTATTTTGCCGTCCTAGCAATATAAGTTATTTCATTTCTCAAAGGGTAGTCACATCCCTTCTGCACCAGTTACAGTATTCTTATAGTTTAATCCTGTCTGTAGTCAGCTCTGGTGGCCTAGTGGCAAGAAACTGCACTGCAATTCTAAGGCACACAGGCCACCACTTGCTCCACAGAAGAATGGACAGTCTCCTCCCCTGTGATTTAATTGCCTCTGAAAACCCACAGGAGGGTCAGCTATGAGTCTGATTTTCCTTATGTTATAATCGATGTTAAGTCCCAACATGTACATAGCAACCTTGTAAACAGCACATCTGAACCCTGTCCTATCCTATAGCCCATCCTCATACTGGGTGTATAAAGGGTGGCTTGAGAAACCATGTATTCATGTGGAGATGGCAATAAATTTCGTAAAACAACTTATGGGAACTCTTCAATGGAAAAACAGTTTGCTCTGTGAACTTTGTACATCTATTATTTGCAGAAGCTCCAACTGAACTTATCTCTCAAGTAACCAGTTTGGTGTTTCCCCAACACAACACTTCAGTCTGAATTAAAACGTGTGAAAGGAACCAGAACCATAATGATAAAATACTGAATTGTTTCTATGTTGTTGTTAAGTGCCATCAAGTGGAATATGACTGACTGACTGACTGTGCCAGTCCACCTCTGTGAGGGTCACCTTCTATTGTCCTTCCACCTTTCTAAACATGTCACATTCCAAGAACTTGGCCCTCATTGTCTCCAAGGATCACTTTAGTTGCCCTTTCTCCAGAACAAATTTGTTTGTTCTCTAAGCAGGCCACGTGATGTGATATTCAGTACTCTTGAACACCACAATTCAAAGGCATCAGTTATTCATCTGTCCTCTTTTATCACTGTCCAACTTGCAGATGCATAGCAAGTTAACTGAGGGGGGGAAAAAACACCCCTGTGGCTTAATATGTGCACCTTAATCTTTATTTGTATTGTTGTTAGCTATTCAAATATAATGATTTGCTATGTAAAGTACACAAATGCTCAAAGTCCAGCAATGCTTGGCAGCTAAACTCAAATGACTAAATTACCTTTTTAGGACAGCACTGTACTTAAATGGAGTGATTCTGGCATAAGACCAATAAAGGGTCTATCTCTGCTCTGGAAAAGTTCACAAGTTATTTCTCCTATTAATGCTGCTGTTAAGGTTATTCTTCCAGTAGTGCTTGTTAAACCACTTATTTTTACTTTAAAATTTTCACATTTAATTTGTAGTATGAATCCTATCTAGTGGGCACTTCTTTTTTTACAGGCTAAGAAATTGTAGAAGTGACATTTTTATTGATCCTGAAAGCCATCCCACCTAATAAAGAGGGGGAGAATAAAATGATCTATTTTTTTTGAAACCTAAAGACTGTTTTTCTTCTGCATAACACCTGAAAAGATGACTAATTGGAGTTTGGGATTCAAAATTCCAGAGCCTTTGCCTTTTCCAATATTTTTAGGAGTTCTATAGAAGGAATACATTTTATTGTTGAGTCATTTTTCACCTACCCCTACCAATCTTGTCTAGAAAATACAAAAACTTAAGTGGTTATAAGAGAAAAAAAAAGTTTAATGAAAATTGGGTCAGAAGGTATGTAATAATCCACAGGAATAACTATACATCTGAGTGTAATAGAAATTACAAATAGAATACATAGTGAAATAAATGTTACATATTGTCATCATCTGATTCGTCTTCTTCCTTCAAGGATTCCTGATAAAAGAAAAATGTTTAAACTTAATTTTAGGCAAATTAAGATGTGGTAACCAGAATTTAATGCAGCTCTTTTCATTAAAAATTCTGCTGTTTATAAATAAAAAATAAGCAAAACTGTAGAACAAAATTTAAGGATGGGTATTTTACTCTAACCATCAGTGACTACATTTTAACCATATACATGTGTATAGAACGCTATTTTATATATTGTGTGTGTGTGTGTGTATATATATATATATATTTTATATATTGTGTGTATATATATATATTTTTTATATATTGTTGCGCTTAGTGCGACTTGAATCGTAACAGCTTTAATTAACCCAATTCTTTCATTATATTCCATTCTTCAAAATTTTTGCTTGAGAAATATATAAGCCATGGCTTACCTTAGCATATTTCTCTGCTTCTTCTCTTATATCTTTTGGTACAATTTCATGTCTTCCTTTAGTTACTATAAATTAAATCATTTAATAAGTTTAAAATTAGTATCTTGTGATTTGTACTACCATACAGTCCACAGGTATAATTTCAATTTTACAGACAGAATTTAATTCCAGTTGCTTTGAACTCATTTCCAAATCACAGCTTAAATTTACCCAAATTAGATTAAAAAAGTTAAAAGTCAGGTTACAATTCAGTTGACTATAAGTACTTTGAACTCACTATTGTGTAGCACATTAATTTTTTAAATAGCCTAGCCTTGAAATTGGGTGCTTGTTTACCACTTAGAAGTTATTTTCCTTTTTTGTACATTTAAATAAAAGTACATACACAGTAGTTAATGAGCTATGGTCTGTAACTTAAAAGTACAAAGACAACTTACATTCACCAACCCAGCTGAGCTCTAGTTCAAAAGCTTTGTCCTTAACTTCATCATGTACTATGTAAATTCTAGAACAGAAATAAATTTTTACATTCATTTTGCCATCTGCAAACATTTACTACATAAACTTTTCCCCAATATAGCACAGTTTGCACAGTCTTAACTGTTCCATCAACCTTTCCACACACTATTAAGATTTACACACTTAGGGTGGCTCACCAGGTCAGAATCAACTTGATGGCGGTAAGCTTATTTTGGTTTTCAAGTACAAGGAATATTAGTTAGCTGTTAAAGGAGAAAGATGTGGCAGTCTGCTTCTGAAATTATTAACAGCTTTGAATATCTTCTGAGTTAATCATACACTTGTAGTTATTAGTGATCTCTTCAATTTACAGCTTCTGTTAAAAGTTCCTTGTGCATTTTGTAAAGGCTACATTTCACCCCACATGGCTTCAAATTTCAGTATATTACATACAATCACCAAATGGAGAAGGTACTGTCACAGCAAATTCAGGAAGAAAAAATAGCAAATAGAGTAAAGCTTTATTTTCCACTCATACATACTTTTACCTGGAAAGGTCTAATGTAGTGACAAAGTATATTCATATTGTAAAAGTAAAAAACTGGTGGACTAATCAGCAGGGAGTACTGGCACTGCTTTTAAACCCAAATGGCCCCAACTCGCGAGTTCATCTCCATCACCTGGTATCTGGTGGATAAAAAGGAGCAGTCTTCTCCAGTGCAGTACACTATTTTAGAAACCCCATGTAGTTAGTTTCCTTCCATGCCATATACAGATTCAGAAACCCAGTGCAGGATCAGCTGTGAATCAATTCCAACTGGATGGCATTGAGTTGACAGAGGAGATGGTATTCCATTTTATAAATTAGGGCTTTATAAAGTGAAACTAATTATAATGAGTTGTAAGTATGTACTAATCCAGTTTTAAATAAATCTTCTGAAAATAGTAACACTTTATTTCTGAAACAAAACCAATAGAGAAAGTTTTTACCAAGGAAAGAGAAGTTAACTTACATTTTTGCAACTTCTTTCACAACATCACGGCAAGTCATTTCTTTCATCTTTGGAAAACAAAATGTATTTTCATTGATTTAACAACCTGAAGAACATCTTCTACTTAAGTGATTATAATCAAAACTATTTTCACAAAATCACTAAAGCTCTTAAAAACAGCTTCTCAGATATAAAAACTAGAGAAAGAAACCCAAGACTTGTTAAATACCAGAGCTGACAAAAAGGGGAAGGGGGAGGTAAAAAAAGCACCACACCACAAAACTTTCATTTTCTTATCAGATTAATAAAATGCAAACAAATTATGAATGCCTACCATGTTCAAGATACAGAGCACAAATAGATTTATTTTGAGAAATAAATGCAAAGCAAAAGAGCAAAGAAACCTTGCCCATATTAAAAGCAATTCAGTGCTCTTATGAACTTCCAGAAATCAGACTACAAAAACTGGCTCAAGGAGCGAAGGTGGGGGGGAATAGGTGGAGAGAAGTGCAGCAATGAATGACTGGAAATCCAAAATCTCTAAATGCTCATTAAAATTATTAAAAAAAAAAAATAGCTCTGGAGAGTTTGTAATGAATTAACGAATGCAGATATAACTAATGAAGGAATTATGTAGGTTTCTGAACAAACAAGTTTGAGCAAAGTAGTATTCATGTATTTGTGTCTGGGGAAAGGGCAATAATGAATCAAAGAACTATTAAACTATTGTAGTCATGTGCCATCAAGTCAAAACTCAGAACTGACCCTCCAACAGGTTTTCAGAGGCTGTAAACTGCACAGAAAGACTGCTTCTCACAAAGCAGCTAGTTACTGAAGTGAAAACACTAGGTTTTGTAGCACAACTCACTACTAGCCTGCCTAATACCAAACTAGGTTCATTATAACAAATATTCTAAAGTAAATTTTTAAAAGGCAGTGGATAGAAGAATAAAGATGGACTTGAGCCAAGTTAATCAGGTTTATTGGTAAGAGGTTACTGAACTTGGTCTTAAATAAAAGTGAAGCAATAAATGTTTCCTAGAATCTGCCCTTAAATCGAATGACTGAAAAATTTAGAACCTATAAGGTTTCATTCAGTTCAGCATTAGTGTTTACTGTATATCACATTTTATTTCACTGTCATTTACCAAGACCCTAATATATGCCTGAGTATTACAGAAGTTACTGATAAGTGAGGAAAAAAAAAGAGCTAGAGCAAAATAAGAAGTTGATCAATCCAAGCCCGAAAGGAAAACCAACAGCAAGCAGTGTGAAAAAAGTTTGCCAGACAGGAAATGAAACAGGCACAAGTTCTACACAAAGCATTTCATGGCAATTGATTCTGCGGTGGTGGTAATTCAAACCTGAGGCTTGAAGGAATCAACTAATATGCATCAAGGATTTTGACAGAGTCATAGAAAATTTTGCTTGCATACAGAAAAGTTCTACATTATGCATCACAGGAATAACTAAATATCATACAACTAACTTGTTACTGGATTTCCTATTCAAACATTTCACAATTTCCCGCTTTAAACATCCAACAGCATACTCTTAGGTGCCCCTGAGGTGACTACAACACATAGCAGCCTTATCCTGCACCATCCTCGTACATTGGAGCCAGTCATTGCATCAGTCCATCTTGTTTGGGAGTTTTCCTCTTTACCTTCTACTTATCTTGGACTAAATGGGTTATTAGTTTGGGATGCTAAAACACCATGCTTGTGTATAATTATGTTACAGCAAAATTTCAAGCATTATGTAAACATTACCTGAAGCTTTTCAATCTCTGTCTTTGCAGCTTGCCTGGCTTTACCAATAGCACAGCCCCAGTAGCCCTATTTCAAAAACAAGTATTTTTAATATATATCATTCAAGTAAATAATCTGTCACATGCCATTAAGGACTAAATATGACTATTTAAAGGGTAAAGAGAATGTTAAATGCCTTAAAGGCAAGAATGATGAAATACAGACATTCAAAAGCTAAACTTAATTCTCTTAAGAAACTGGATTCGTTCTTAAAATGAGGTTGTAACATTAAGTTACTTACATGTGCAGAAAGTGATAGGAATGAAAACAATTTACCTGCAAGATGAAAACTATGTCTTTTTAAGGCACATAAAAATTATTTTGAACTGAGTTCAATGCACTGAGCCCTCATTTTTTTGGTGGTTTTTAAAGATCCTGTGCAGATTTTATGAAAGCACTTTACAATGAGTAAATACCATGTAATTCTCAAAATAATAAAATTGTTAAAAGGGACCCAAAAATCCCACATAGTACTTTTTTATGAAAGAAGAAAATACTATATGAAATTTAACTGCTAATTATAGTATGAGAGGTCATAGTCATTGTCTCATTTCTATAAATGACACTGAAAACCAACAAATACAAATCTGCTTTTTATCCCACACATTATTATTAACACATTCCTTGAATTAATTTTAAGGATCTTTCTTAAAATGCTAATACACAACTTAAAGTATTACACTATCCCTAGAATTAGAGTTTCAAATGACTGAGAATTACTCACATATGAAACACCTGAGGGGTCAATCATGTAGAGTTGTGCACCATCATTCCCACTGTAAGAACCTAACATGAAACTGAATACAAGAATAAGAAAACTTTAAATCACAGCTCTTGATAACAAAGAAATAAGGGAAAAAAATTACAATGATGAAGACATAAGAGACAAAAGCTCTTTGATACACAGGTTTCAATAAAAAGCTGTAACATTTAATACCAATATTCATGTGGCTTTTTGTGTTTAGTATAAAGACTTCTGATAAGCACTGTTGAAAATAAGACAGAATGAAAACAGAATAGGGTCCAACAATAAAAGCATATTTAAAAAAAATTCTTAAAGACCATGTGGAGTATACTGAATCCATTATCTCTTGACACATGATTCTTTTTTTTTAATTGGCTACTCTTAAATAATCCAAACTGATCATGCTCAAAAAATTAAAACTGGGCTATAAAATTTTGTTAATTATACAAGTGTAATTATATAAGTTTGCTTTACCAGTATAAACTACACTGATTTTCCTATCATTTCACATACATAATACCCACCAGGCACTCAACCAATTCTCATCCCTTACCATCCTTCCATCTTCCACACTGAAATGTGACTTTTTTTCAGAATATTTATCTGTCTAATTACTGTTTAAAATCTTCCAATGTATCTTTAGTTGATACTTAACAGACTTATATTTGCTCTGGCTTCTTCCTAGGTCTTCAATATTATTCCTAAATCTTACACTCCACATAACAAGGCATGTGGTTCAAGTCTCTCAGCCACTCAAGGAAGAAAGATGGGCAACCACCTCCTATGCCTGTGATTTATAGCTTCTGAAAACCCTCTAGAGGGTCAGGTGTGATTCAGTTCAGTTTCCATGGCAATGAGTTTTACTTTATTTAATTATAACACATCCCAGGAATAGAACTACAGCTTGCTTGCTTTCTATATCCTTTAAAGGTGGCAAACGTAGAAATACCTTTATTTTACAAAACTTAAATGTCTTTTTACTTAAGGAAAATTTAGAGTCATGACTCGATAAATCTAGATTTCTGAGAAGCAAAATTTAAAACCTTCTAATTATTTAAAGATTTCCATTACTCCAGGTCCCCACTACCCTGCAAGATAACAACACTTTGCTTTAACAAAACAAAACTTTAACAAAAACTGACATGGATATGATACGGATTTATTATTGACAATCAGAAACTCCATTAAAGATAGTCTTAACTGTACAAAGTTTGCGAAAACTGATGTATAACAGCTACCTAATAATGACAATATGGAATATGTTATGTACCGTGAAGTTGCCTGCGACTCATAGCGACCCTATGTACAAATGCTCTATCCTGTGCCAATCTTACTGTCTATGACACACCTACCCCCATTACCTGAGTCACTGAATCAATCCATCTCATTTGAGGGCCTTCCTCTCCTGCGCTGTCCCTCTCAAGCATGACATCTCTATCCAGGGACTGGACCCTCCTTGTAACATGTCCAAAGTATGTGAGATGAAGCTTAAGAATTCTTGCCTCCAAGGAGCACCCTGGTCTCACCCTCTTTAGGAGGAACTTGTTTGTTCTCCTAGCAGTCCATGATATATTCAACACACTTCTCCAGCACCACAGCTCAAAGGCATCAATTCTCCTGTCATCCCTAGTCACTGTCCAGCTTTCGAATGCACATCAAGTAATTGCAAAGATCATGGCCTAGATCAGGTGCACCTTAGTCTCCAGAGTGACATCATTGTTCTTCAGTGCTTTGGAGAGGTCTCTGACAGCAGACTTTCCCAATGCAATTCAACTTTTTATTTCCTGGCTGCTGGTACCAAAAGTGATGATTGTGAAGTTGTGAAGCCAAGCAAACTAAAGCTGTTAACAATCTCAATCTCTTCACCATCTATCATGATGCAGCCAATAGGCCCAGTGGCGAGAATCTTTGTTTTCTTGATGTTGAGCTTCAATCCATATTGAAGGCTGCAGTCCTGCAGCAAGTGCTTCAGGTCCTCCTCAGGACAAGCAGGTTTGTGCCATCTGCATAATGCAGATTGTTGATGAGTCTACCTCCTATCCTGAAGCCACATTTCTCATAGAGCCCAGCCTCCCAGATAATCTGTTCCACATATAAATTTTTAAAAAAGGTATGGAGATAGGACACATCCCTGGTGTACACCCTTCCCAATTCTGAACCATGCAGTGTTTCCTTGCTGTGTCCTAAGGACTGTCTTCTGGTCCAAGTATACATTTAAAATTAACTCAGTTTCCTAAGATCACAATTTTTAATACAGATGGATTACTCATTTATATGAATTCTTCAAAATTTATATCTAGTACACTATTCAAGTACTATTTTTATGTATACGGTTTTATTTAATCACTACCCTAATACTTACTAATACCTCCTAATACAGGAGCCCTGGTAGTATAGAAGAACTGCTGAGAGGTTAGCAGTTTGAACTCACTAGCGGCTCTTAGGAAAGCTAAGGCAGTGTGTGCTTCTGTCAACACAAAAGTTCATGAGGGGGCACACATGCCATGCATCTAAACCAACAGCAGTTAAGTTTAAAACTTCTTAGTAATAGTTCTGATTTCTAAAGGTATGAAAGACTAAAATATCCAATAAAATTTCATACCTGCAGCCAAAAGGTCTGACAGCACTGTACAGTGTATATGCATGTACATACATGGCCACTCTGTCTGCAAGATGCTACAGAGGTAGGGGAGAAAACAGATGATTTTTTATTAATAAAGTTGTATTATTGTTCCAAAGACACCTCAACATGTTAACAACTTACTTTTAGTGGAATGTTATAGCCGAAGTTTGATCTAAAGTTCGAAGCTTCTTCTCTTGCTATGTCTGCTAAAGAGCGAGCATCTGCCAACAAGCCTGCTACTGCCTGAAAGGAAGGAAGGAACAATAGATAAATAAACTCCTGACATAAATCAAGAAGTATACAATTACATTAGGCTTATTAATTTTCTTTTAAATTGTGACTTGGCTGGAAGTTTTTAAACAAGAGCTACCTTTCTTAAAAAATTCTTTGGCTTTAAACGCATTTGGGCACTTTGATGCTTGAATATCACACTGTAATTTGGAAATGTGCAAGTGTTAGCATCATTGTTTTGTCCAACAATAAGAATCAAAAGGCTATTTCTATCATAAAACCCCCTCTGCATTTACTGCCTCATAAAAAGCCACTGGTTTTGATCAGGATTATTTTAATGCAGTTATGGGTTCAAAAATTCTGGTCTAAAAGGAAAAACATCAAATCTTCATTTTCAACCTATTGCAACAGTAAATTATAATAACAAATTATAAAAAAATGACAAACCACAAATCTTCTGAGATTGGCAGCATGTGGCAGTAAGGTGCACTAGAGCACTAAAATAAACCTGAAGGTGCTGTGGGACATTTCAAATGTTAAAAAAAATTGTCAAGAAAGCACATAGTTTAAACAATCAATCCGCACTCCATCTGCTACACTGTATCTTTTAAAAGCTGGTTTCGGTGGTTCTGTGGTAAAAGTACTGCGTAAATCAATATGGAACAGGAAATTAAGTTGGCAGCATCTAATCTGATTTCAGTATTTGAGAAGTTATTGTTGTCATTGTCATGTGCCACTAAGTCACCTGAGACAGCTAACTTAGGAGAAGTATATATTGTGATTGTTAAAAATGATTTATTTTTACTAAGCTTTATGAACCTCAAAAAATTACTATCCATTCCAGTTTATAGAATTCAAAGAACATAGTAGAGCTGCCCCCTAGAATTTCCAAATCTGTGTAATCTTTACAGAAGCAGACAGCCTCATCTTTCTCCCATGGTATGACTGGTAGTTTCACTGCCAACTTTTGGTTACCAGAGGAGACTTCACTAAGGCATTACCATGGCACTATTTTATATATTAAATAAAACTGAGAATATATTTTCTATATTAAATAAAATTGATATACAGAGTAGCATGAACCAAAAAAAGTCTGGGAACTACAGCTTAGGAGATTTGCCAAATTTAAGTCAGTGATAATAGAATTTATTAACATTAGGTAGCCTTTATTTTCCTGCTGCTACCTGCATGTAACTCACACAGTGATAATAGTAATTCTCAACACAAATCAAGCATTCATTACACACAGGCACTTTATACAATTCTTTCTAAACTCAAAACAAATATTCAGGTACTATTATTACCACCTTCTAGACAAAAAATATGTCATGTAGATCCTATTACTACTTTCTAGACAAAATGGTTTCTATAACTTCCCCACAGATACTAGTAAGTATCACTTACTGGATAAAAAAGTAAATAGTAAAAAGAATTTACTATTTCTCTGAAGAAAGCTTACTGTAAAGTTCAATAATACTTCAGCCCTATTTAATGTCAGCCAAATATCTTGCCAATTTCCAGATGTAAGGAAAACGTCTGTTTTCCTGACTTAAGTGGTTAAAATTGAAAATGTTTATGATAATAAATTCCTCTACCACTAAAATGCCTAGTTTTCGCACATAAGATGTCTTAAAAGTGTACTTATTTTACTAAATGAAAGAATATGAATCAGGTTCCCTCTTACCAAGTGGGCTACAGAGTTACACTGTGACAGATTTTCTCAAAATATAACAGTGTTATTGGCAATAATCTGTTCATGAGAGAATGTGTTGAGAGAAAAATATTTTTGGAAGAAACAAAAGTGCATCTTTAACTTCAGTTTACTCATCATACTTTACCAGTCCTCTGAATGTGTATGTGTTTAGAAATAGCACAACAGACTGATTTTCCAGACACAGTATAGAATTAGCACAACAGACTGAATTTCCAGACACCGTATACTACAGCATTGTTGTTGATTGCCATCAAGTCGAACATGACTTATAGCAACCCTATGAACAAAAGGCCTGAAGCCTTTCTATAACTAACGTCATTTATCAAAGTTCATAGAGTTTTCAGAGGCAAGTTGTTTAGGAAGTAAATACCATTCTACAGACACCTTGAAATTATAAATATAGACCTAAATATGAATCTGTTTTCTTGTCTGGAAAATAGGATTATTATTACTTTCACTGAGCTGCCAGTATTAAGAGATATTACTTATGTAAACAATCTTAACACCAAGGGATCTCTTTTTAATTAAGAAAACAGCACTGTTATTTACTATTTACATCTGCTGAAATGAAAACATTTCCGTTTCAGTTTTTGTTGTTGGGTGCTGTCAAGTACAACTCTCAGCAGCAACCCCATGAATAGCCAACCAACTCTGGTGGTGATTCCTACTATATAGTCTGACTTCTAGTATTTATTAGTTGTGTGTTTTAGGGTGGTTTTTTAAATTGTATTAACTGGTTAAACGTGCAGGTAGGCAGAGTAGTCACTATTTTGATACCAAATGCATGAAATTACCTAATACAGTAATGCTATTAAAGCTATTTAAAAGGATGTGATTGCTTTCTCTTAGCATGAAAAATCTTTTCCTGGTGCTCTACCTTATAGAAAGGGATTCTGATAGCATCTTCATGACTGATCTCTATGTCAAAACAAAATATTCACAGTCTTTGTCTCTCAAACAGGTTTCACTGGTGATCTATGCTGCCACAATGTCTTTTCTGCACGTACTTTTCTTTCTCATATCCCTCTTTTTCATCAGTTAATTTTGTTTTTCTTCCAGTCGTAAGAATGCTATCCTTCCTTAGGTCAGTAAACTATCCAAAACCAATAAATTTTTGTGATTACTACTGTTGCTGCTCACTGTGTACCTCCATGATAAAGTTTCTTATGATCATATTTTACATTAAAAACTTCGTATGTTTAAAGACATATATTGCAGTTAAAAAGGACCATTTTTTAACCATTTCAACTATTAACATTCCAACATGTCAATCAGTATTACAAAAACTTGACAAGACAGAAAGAAACCATTTTAGATGTGACCTTACCATTCCAACATGCCGATCAACATTAAAAAGTCGTTTATTGGAACCTTCTTCATAAAGTTTTGAAAGGACTAATTTTTCTACCCCAAAGACAACACCATCTTTACACCTGATCCCAATAGCAGTACTGAAATAAGAAAAAAGTCACTTTAACTGAAAGTAAAAGAAATACATAATCTTAAGTTTTAAAAAAAAAAACAAAGTAGGAATTTAGTTTTTTAAAAACATTTCAAATGCTTTAAAACAAACATACCTCATAAAAAGGAGAAATAACCTAAAATGTGATGAATATCTTTAAACATCATATAGCATATTAGCATATCAATTCACATAAACACTAATAAGTGAACAACAAAGTTCATAAATTTAGGAAAGAACTTAGCATGTAAGAGTCATGTTAAATGCTGAATAAATTAATCTCTTAAAATTGGTAACAATATGAACAGAAAAAGGCAATCTGAACTAGAAGATAAATAATTCGTGGAAGAATTATGTTCTTATTCATCTGTCCCAATTTTTAGCAGTGAAACATGTATGATTTGTTAATTTATAAAAACTGATACATGCTTTGTTAAACAATAACCTTCTGAATGAAAAATGGAGGAATTATGTCACCACTTAAAGATGAAAAGACATTATCATTCTAATACTCTTTAAAGGAGTTCTAGTATGAAAGAACCAATGGGGTACACATACTACACAACAGTTAACTTTTTGTAAAATTTTATTTTATTTTTTCTCATAATATACTCATAAACAAGCATCAATAAACACTAATCTCATGATTTCCTCTACTTGTCCTTCATTCCCTATGTTGAGCGTCTACTTAATTTTTTTTAAAACCGTTACTTCTGTTTGACCAGCACTAGTCAAATCATTTATCTTTTCAGGACTAAACATAGTACAGCATCTTTACCCCTTCTCTAATGCACCTTATCAAACATGCTCTGCTTAACCTTAGGCTTAATTTTTTACATTAATACTAGAATCACAGGAGCTCAGGTGGCCTAGTGGAAAGAACCTGCACAGCCATATCAATGGCATGGGGTTTGAATCCACCAGCTGCTATGTGGGAGAAAGATGGACAATCTCCCATGCATCTGAAAAATGACTAGAAGATCAACCATGAGGTCCGGTTCCAACTAAACAGCACACAACAACATAATCTAAAAAGCCATCCTCAATTGTTGGGGATTTAATGGAAAGAAAAAATAGTGTTCTGCAAAATAAACATGCACAGGCACAAATTTTGCAAAGAAATTATTAGATATTCTCTGTCCACATTTGAGATGTCTTTGGAGATTCCCTTTTCAAAGTTAAAATTACACAGCTCGGTTGTGAAAAATTCTGAGAATTTGTCAAAGCTAAAGCAGCTTTTTTAACATCCTATTAGAAATCATGTGTTGTCATTGTGTAGCATCGAGATGGAAGCAACCCAGAGCTGACCCTCTAGCAGGTTTTCAGAGGCTTATAGTCACACAGGAGGAGACTGACCATCCTTCTCCCACAAAGCAGTTGGCAGAGTCGAACCTCGTGCGTTCTGCACAAAGCTGCTTTCCACCAGGCCACCAGAGCTCCCAGAAATCAGGTATTCTAATGAATTTCTAAGAATTAATTTAACCTTACTGTTATGCCTATGTTCATTTTTTGCCTCTGTGTCTATCGTGAAATGATCCAGTGTACTAGTACACTAGAGAATGAGGTTAACTAATGCGTATTATGAGTTGAGTTCATAAGGAAACACAAAACTTTGTAATTCTGTTAAATCTTTTATGTGGATTTATTTATGATCAGCCTACTAATTAAAAATATTTTGCTTGACAAAAAAAAAAAAAAAAGAATAAAATCCTATTTTAGGAAGCTGCATATAAGTTCTTTTTAGAACCTAAAATATCCTTTATTTTAAAGCATATGTTTTCAAAATGTGGTTTGGGGCGCTCTGGTGGCCTGGTGGCAAGGAGCTGAACTGCAATCCCAAAGATAAGCAGTTTGAATCCATCAGATGCTCTGCTGGAGGAGGGACAATCTCTTCCTGTACCAGTCAGATCTGACAGTATACACACAAATAATAATTTTTTTTAAAAAATGTGGTTTATGAACTTCTGGGATTCTTAAAACCTTCTAAAAGTTTCAACAATTTGTGAGATCATTTTTATAATAATACAAAGACACACAATCTGCCTTTTCCACAAAGTGGGAATTTGCACTGTTAGTGCAAAAGCACTTGTGGGTAAAACTTTAGGCACTTTAAACAAAATAGTAACAAGTGATATTAGCAAACTATCATTCTTCTGTTCTATTCTTGCCATTAAAAACAAAAACACACCTCAAAAGACCTCACAGTCCAGCCGGTCCCAGGAGGCTGTAAATCTCATGAGAAGAGATTGCCCATCTTTCTCCCATTAAATAGTCAGGAAGGTACCACTTTTGGATTAGCAGTACCTCTCCCTACAGGCTACCCCACCAAAGCCACTTTTAATGAAGAATGCTCTTAGTGAATCACTTTACTGATTATATAAAATCCTAACCGAATGAGTAGCTCTCTTTTTTAATATCCTCAGAAGGAAATGCCAACGTTCATGAAGTAGGAAAAACCATTTCTATAACTGTTTTGCGTTGTAAATGTTCTCACAGAACATTTAATACAGTATCAGACAAACTATATTTACACTTAGATAAATGGAAGAGAAGGAGGTTGGCTACTAACTAAAAGGTCAATAGTTGCAATCCACCAGTCACACTAGAGGATTACACCCTTGGAAGCCTGACAGGGCAGTTCTACGTTGTCCAGTAGCATCAGTAGGAATTGGAATCAACCATACAACAAGACTGTTTGGTTTATAGAACAGATGGGTTTCTTTAAATAAAGAAAATTAGCCTGTCATTTAAAAAAAAATTGACACTATTTGTTACCACTTATATATAGAATGCTAGATACTTTATAGTCAACATTAAGAAAGTGTTTGCTTCCCAATTCTTAAAAGATCTTCAGTAATGAGATACTAACAAATGTTTTTTTGGGGGGTGTTTCTGATAATAAAGAAATGTGTTAACATTTAGAAAAACTCTTTAACTCAGCAAAACATTTTCCAACTAAGCAATTCAAAATGTTAACAAAATCATGCTAGAGTAAAATATCCACTGGTAAAAAAAAAATACTAAGAGTGAATAAATTTTAATGTTTAAAAGTATAAAAGTTCACTAATATTATTTCCATATTCCAGATCGTAACTAACCTTTAAGAAATCAGCAACTGTCCAATTTGAGTGCATTATTAAAGAATATTAAAATACTTCTCCAATTACTTATTTGTACAAAGTCTAATTTATTTCACATCCTTTGACAAAAAGAGCTGACTGAACACAAACAGGTAAGAGAATCTAAGTGGTTTCTATTAAGCTAAGCATGAAAATACTGGGGGAAATGTTTTTTCATTTACTATTTTACATTAACCTGTAATTGAGTTTTTTCCTATTTTAAATGAATAAACAGTTTATACTTTGTCTTAATTTCTAGAGAGAACGCTTACCCTCTAGTCTGTAGAGAGTGGCACATCTAACTCAAGGTCTGTGCCTCTTTGGTGGGTTGTATCCAGCACCACAGGAAAAAGCAGGGTAATCTCCTCCTTTATGATTTACAACCTCACAAATTTACCAGAGCGTCAGTTCAAGAGTTTGAGTAATTGAGTTTACTGTTATTTTAAAATTAATATACTTTTTTCACTTTCATTTCTAAAATGGTAAATATAGACACTTAATGGCATACATAATGGATAACTCAGAGATATCTTAGTTATAATTTTAAAGAGTAAAGGGGTCGTGAGACCAGAATTTTGTGGACCCTTTTCTCCTAAACAATCTCAACCTTACTGCACAAAAGTTTTCTTTCATGTCTTGACTCAAGCTTATGTTAACCTAACCTGAGCATATAACCACCCAATACAACAAAGCAGGATGGCCTCCATTGGTCTTCTGAGGCTCATTGGTAATGAGTTATGCTCCGAAGACAAGGTATATGCTTCAAATCCACCAGCTGTTTTGTGAGAGAAAGCTAGGCAATCCCCTCCCATGTAATTTACAGCCAGTCTCTGTAAATAACAAACAACAAACATATTTTACCAGGAGCAAACAGCCTCCTCTTTACCTACTGGAGCAGCTGGGAATTCAATCCATAAATCTTTATATTAGCAATGCAACACTTAAGCCACCAAAGTTCTTTAAAATATTTCTTGAACTATTACAAATTGAAATCCCTTCTTCCTGTTAACCCAGATGACAGCCCACTGAACAAAACTTATTCACCTAAATTAAGAATTAAGCTAGGTGTCCACACATGAAAAGACAGCACAATGAAGACACTAACAAAGTGGAAAAAGTCAATGTTTAAATAGAGACTTTTATAAACTTCTTGAAATATTTCCTTTCTCTACCTTTATTCCTAAAGTTTTAATTGTAGTGGAAACAGTGAGCCTGAACACCAAGATTGTATTTGTTGTTGTTATGTACCATCAAGCACAAAACTGACTCACAGCTGATCCTCCAGCAAGTTTTCAAAGATAGTAAATCACACGGGAGGAAACTGCCCATCATTCTCCCACAGAGCTGCTGGTGGATTTGGGTTTGCAGCGCAAGTTAGTAAATCTGAAAAAAAAAAAAATCTAAGAGATTTGAATCAGAAGTTTTCTAACAGTCAAAAGAAATTCTTTACTTCACCCAAAAGCTTCTGTAAGTAGAAAAATAATCATGTAAGCACAAAAGTTTCTTCAATTAAAAACATTAATATCTGTCAACAGCACTAATAGATTATGTGTCATGGGGTATCAAGGAATGATTTTTATTATGTCAATAAACAGGCAACAAAGAAGGGAGCCCAAAATGTAACAGGTGTAATCCTACACATTTTCAAGACTGGCAGGAGCAATGGAGGGGATAAGAATCAAAAGAAGACATGTAGCTACTGAGAAAAAAGTAACTTTCTCTTGTTTCTCTCTCTCAACTCATTTCTCATTGCTGTCCCTCATAGCTAACCCTTCAGCAGGTTTCAAGATCGTAAACCACATGGAAGGAGATTATTCATTTTTTGGGTTTATGTGAATTCTAACAACCAGAAAGGCTGGGCCTGTGGAATTAGCTGCTCAACTCCCTACATAGGCTACCAGAGCCCCTTAACTAATTATACAGGGCATTTAAAACTTAAGATGTTGGAGAGGGGGGGGGGGAAAAACCAACCCTACATGGTCTCTAACCTAATGACAAAGGAAAACCAAAATACACATCAAGAACTTAGAAGAACTCTTGGGTGAAAAACAATTCAAACTTTGTAAATGAATCAGTATGGGTGGGTGGGGGTAAAAGAAATGAGGACAGTCTTGTGTGAAAAACAATATACTCGAACTTTTTAAGATTTCAAAAGAAAATGGAGTAGCAAGAATGCTATTATTGCTGCTGGGTGCTGCTGAGTCACATACAACTCATAGCAACCCTATGAACAACAGACCTGAACCCTGTCTTATCCAGTGCCATCCTTACCATCTCTGACACACTTAAGCCCATTGCTGTAGTCACTGTGTCAATCCATCTTGTTGATGGTCTTCCTCTCCTTCATTGTCCCTAGAAGCATATCCCTTTCCAAGAAATAGCCACTCCTAGCAGCATCCCCAAAATAGGTGAAACAAGGCTTTGCTATCCTTGCCTCTAAGGAGCACTCCGGCAGCACTTTTTCCAAGATACACCTGAGCTGGATGTTTTTGGCAGTCCATGGAATAGTCAGTGCTGTTCTCCAACACTGTAACTCAAAGACATCAATTATTCCCCTGTAATCTTTATTTATTGTCCAGCTTACAGATGCATAACAAGTGATGCATAAGGCAAACCTAGTCTTCAGAGATCATTGTTCCTCAATAAGCTGGTGGTCTCTGACATGGGACTTACCCAATGCAAACATGTCCTAATTTCCTGATTGGTGGTACCAAAGGCTATGCTCCAGAAAAATGAAATCACTAACTTGAATCTTTTCCATCTATCATGATGCTGCCTTTTGGTACAGGCATGAAGATTTTTGTCTTCTTGATGTTGTTGTTGCTATGTACTGTTGAGTCAGAACCAACCCATAGCTGACGCTTCAGCAGATTTTCAGAGGCACAGGAGGAGATCGCCCATCCTTCTCCTGCAAATCAGCTGGTGGCCTTGAACCATGTGCCTTTGGGATTGCAGCACAGCTTCTTGAAACTAGGCCACCAGGGCTTCCCTTCTTGATGTTGAAATGTAATCCATATTGAAGACTATAATCTTTGATCCTCAGTAGTAACTGATTTTAAGTCTTCCTCACTTTCAGCAAGGAAGGTTTTGTCACCTGCATAGAGCAGGTTGTTGATGAGTCTTCCTCCCATCCTGATGTTCATAGAGTCTAGCTTCTCAAATGATTTGCTCCGTGTATAGATTAAGTAGATATTGATAAAGGATACAACTCTGATGTATACTTTTCCTGATTTTAAACTATGTACTGTCTCTTTGTTCTGTACATACAACAGTATGAATGAGTTTATCTCAAATGCAATGTTTACTTGAGACCTAATAAAAAAACCTAAATGAGCAATCCTGAAATCAACTGGAAATGCAGGACTGTTGTTATGTGCCATCAAATCTCGTCTGGCTCATAGTGATCCTATGTACAACAGAACTGAACCCAACTCTATCCTGGGCCAACTTTATCGTCTCTGACACACCTACAGTCACCGAGTCAATCCATCTCATCAAGTGTCTTCATCTCTTGCACCATCCCTCCACCCTCCCAAGCATGCTATCCCTCTCCAAGGACAGGTCACTTCTTGCACCATGTCCAAAGTTTGTCAGACGAAGCTTCAGAATCTTTGCCTCCACGGAGCAGCCTGGTTTTACCTTCTCTAGGATGAACCTGTTTGTTCTCCTAGCAGTCCATGGTATATTCAGTACTTTTCTCCAGCACCACAGCTCAAAGGCTTTAATACTTCTACCATCCTAGCCACTGTTCAGCTTTACAATGCATAGCAAGTAACCGAGAAGAATATGGCTTGGATCAGGTGCATCTTAGTCTCCAGACATTTAGAACTAGGACTCATGAAAAGGATAGATCTGGCCTAGAAAAAGATTTTATTTTAGGTCATAATACTAGTTTAGGGAGCTCTGGTAGTCTACTGCTAAGAAAGTTGTGCTACAATGATGAAGGTATTCAATGCAAGTCCACCAGCCTACCCTGTGGGAATAGGATGGGCAATCTCCCTGAAAGCCTGCTGGAGGGTCAACTATGGGTTGGTTCTGACTCGATGGTACTCAACAACAACAACAATACTAGTTTATGTCCAAGAAACACAACAAAGCCTAATTATCAAAGTTGTTCTCTTAGTGACCATCAGGTTTCCAAGGTTGTAAATCTTTATGAGAAGAGACACCTATTTCTCCCTCAAAGTAAGACCTTTCAGTTAGCAGAATGTTACTATTGGAGCCTACTAGGGCTTTTTATAGAAAATATAAGGAGACAATCACACCAGGTCAAAATATGCTCACTTCATTAAAATATTGTTGCTTACCTGCTATTTTCCACAGCCTTCATAGCATATTCAACTTGAAAAACTCTTCCATCAGGTGAAAATGTAGAGGCTGACAGGTCATACTAGAGGGAGAAAGTAATAAGCTTATAATAATTTCTCTTTGACAATAATCATGTAATTTTACCTCTCTCTGAATGGGTAGGGTAAGATACGTGTGTCATATCCTAAGAAAAATGGTTTTAGAGTATAAAAATCCTAAAAGAGCAATAACAAATGTCATAAATTTTTCATTTCTGCTATTAACACAGAGTAAGGTCAACTCTCAGGATTTTTTCTCCACAGAATAAAGATCATTATTTTTTAAAAATAAGATTCATACCTGTGCTACTAACAATATTTGGCCTATCATACAGACAAATCATTTAACATTCATAAAACATTTAATAAGCCATGATTTATGTGTGCTGCTATAAGGAAATACTCTTAAAATTCTTCATTTATAAAACAAATGAATAAATAAAATCCTTCCTTTATCAACTTGAACCAGGTATGAAATCTAGATGGTAGAGCTACAGCAGTAACCAAAAAGAAAAAAGAATTATAAGGATAAAATAGAGTAAAAGACAGGCCAGAGAACTGCCTGAGACTCAGTGATTAGCTGATGTCTTCTGGAAGGAGTGACTAGCCATTTAAAATTTGGAAGAGCTTTCTTAATATCAGGCTCAAAAGCTGTAAGGTAAAGATGGCCTGGCATAATAAAGTAATTGTTATCTTGAACATAAAAAAGCACTGGTGGCATAGCAGGTTACATACTGGGACACTAAAGGTTAAAAGACTGAACGCACCAGTCACTCTACAAAGATGAGGCAATCTGCTCCAATTAAGATTTCCTGCCCTAAAATTCCAGTGGAAAGTTGTTATAAGTTGGAATTGACTCGAAGGCAATGGGTTCAGTAGGCATGTCTTGAACACTAGAAATGGTATAGAGAATGCTGTTGTACTGTGCTGTATACAACTAAGATTCATAGTAACCCTATGAACAACATATCTGAACCTTATCCTATCCTGTATCATTCTTATCTCTAGTGTGATGGTGTTGATTGCCATTGAGTCAAGCACGACTCATAGCAACCCTATGAACAAAATGCCTGAATCCTTTCTATAACTATCATCATTTATCAAAATTCAGAGTTTCCAGGGCCCACTGTTACAGTCAGTGTCAATCCATCTGGTCAAGGGACTGCCTCTCTTTTGCTGACTTCCACCTTTACAAGCATGATGTCATTTTCTAAGGACTGGCCCTGGTAATAACACGTGCAAAGTATAAGAGACATGAAGCTTCACCATACCATCCTTGCCTTCAGGAGCACCCTGGCTGCGCTTTCTCCAAGACATAATTGTTTGTTCTTTTGGTAGTCCAGAAGATATTCAGTACTTTTCTCCAACACCAACTCAAAGTCATTAATTTTTCTGTCACCTTTCCTCACTGTCCAACTTTCAGATGGACAGCAAATCCTTAACAAGAATTAACAAGCTTAATTCTTAATTCAGGATTACTTGCTCTTCAATGTCTAATGACATTGTTCATTTCCACATTCTGTTGGATCACCTTTTTTCGGACAGCAGATTACAAAACACTGGTAGGTAAGAGCCAAATCATGCTAGTCTTCTACAGTGGAGTGGTTGTTAGGTGCCATCAAGTCTAGTATGACTCACAGCAACCCTGTGAACAATATATCTGAACCCTGTCCTATCTTGTGCCATCCTCATCATCTCTGACACAGTCAAAACTACTGCTTTCATCACTGTGTCAGTCTATCCATTGAGGGCCTTCCTCTCTGTCACTCCACTTTTCCAAGCATGATGTCCCTTTCCAAGGAATAACCCCTCCTAACAACATGCCAAAAGTATGAGACAATGCTTTGCCATACTATCTCCAAAACTTATCTGTCTGTTCTTTCGGCAGTCTGAGAGATATTCAATGGCCCAGCACTCCACTAGCTCTACTCAAAGGCAACAATTCTTATGCCATCATCATCATTGATCAGCTCTCAGATGCACAGCTAGTAATGGCAAAGACCATGGCCTGATTCAGGCAAACCCTTGTCTTCAAGAAATGTTTACTTCATTAAAACTCAAGAGAAAGACACTGGAGTTTAAACAGAAGATTGATGGGGTATTTTTACAAACATCATGTTGTTATTATGTGCCGTCAAGTTGCTGGCGACTCATAGCGACCCAAGTACAACAGCCCTAAACTCTGCTCTGTCCTATGCCAATCGCACTGTCTCCGATACACCCATCCCGATTACCCCAGTCACTGAATCAATCCACCTCAAAGAAGGCCTTCCCCTCCTGCGCTGTCCCTCCACCCTCCCAAACATGATGTCCCCCTCCAAGGACTGGTCCCTCCTTGCAACAGGTCCAAAGTATGTTAGTCGGAGCCTCAGAATCCTTGCCTCCAAGGAGCTGCCCGGTTTAACCCTTTCCAGGATGAATCTATTTTCCTAGAAGTCCATGGTACCCTCGATACCCTTCTCCAGCACCAAAGCTCAAAGGCATCAATTCTCCTTCTATCCTCCTTAGTCACTGTCCAACTCTCTGATGCATAATAAGTGAGAGCAAAGACCATGGCCTGTATCAGATGCACCTTAGTCTCCAGAGAGACACCACTGCTCTTCAGTACTTTGGAGAGGTCCCTAACAGCAGACTTTCCCATGGCAATATGTGTGGAGCCAAGCAAACTAAAGCTGTGAACAATCTCAATCTCTTCACCATCCATCCTGATGCTGCCAGTTGGCCCAGTGGTGAGAATCTTTGTCTTCTTGACACTGAGCCTCAATCCATATTGGAGGCTGCAGTCCTTGGGCCTCTGCAGCAGGCACTAGCAGGTCCTCCTCAGTTTCAGCAAGCAGGGTTGTGTCATCTGCATAACAAAGACTGTTGACAGATCTTCTACCAATCTTGACACCACATTTCTCCTCATAGAGCCCAGCCTCCCGGATAATCTGTTCCGCATACAGGTTGAAAAGGTATGGACACAGGGTGTACGCCCTTCCTAATTTTGAACCATGAAGGTAGAAAAAAACAACTATTGACCTAGTAAAAAAACTAGAGGAATCACAGATCCATACACACACACACAACGCGCTTTCACTTGAAAAACTTCGACAGGACCGTTCAATGAGCCGATGACTGAAAAGGGATGCAAAACTGCACGGGAAGGAGAAAACCACGAGTCATTTGGACAGAGTCATTTTGGACAGGTAAAGCCTGAAATACCTATGAAAATAGGGAGAAATGTCAAGCAGACAGGCAGGGATACACATATATCTGGGATTCTTGGAAGAAGTGAAGACAAGAGCTAAAGTCTTCAAAACAATAGTGCTTTCTGAGTATCAGTATCCTGATTTTGTTAAAAGTCAAATTGCTACTATATGCATTTTATCAAGCAACTACTAATCAAAATGGGGTGAGGGGCTGTCTAACTTTAGAAACTCATAACTAAACGGTTTAAACCATTCCAAACACAAGTTATCTATCATATGGGCTTAATGATAAGTATCAGAATTTTGTGAACAAGTAGGAACTGAAACAGAGAAAGCCACTATTCAGTGTCTCAAGTGCAAACAAGCACCCTATATTTCGAAATAAAATTGTTTTCTAAAAGGAGAAGTGTAACAAAAGGCCTGAATATATGAAATCATTAACAAAGATCGGTAGTAAGCAGAAAAAAATTAACCACTAAGTCCAAAGACTCTAAAATACTCAATAGGGTGTCAATAAAGTTGAAAGACTTCTAACTAATCATTTAACATTTACAATTGGTATTAGTTCTGCTTGGCAGTTTCCAGTGACTTAAATACTGAGCAGTTGATGAGTATTCCCGAAAGGAAGAGAAAGGGGGCTTCGTGAGCCAGCAGCTCACGAGTCGACAAGAAAAACCTGGCGTCTCGCTGCCTGAGCGGTGATTAAGCGCCTGCCATGGTCGCCCAAACCCACACACACATACACAGACACATACACACACACACACACACACGCACACCTCACAAGCTTTCACTTTCAGTTTTCCCCAGCGGCTCCAGAAAGTGACTCAGCAATCCAAAGCTGCCCTGAAATATCGCTGCTGCACCGCTGCGCCCGCGGCGCCAGAGCGGAAAAGATCCCGCAAATCCCCGTCACCAGAGACGCAGGCCTGGAAAACAGCGAATGCAAGACCGCCGTTCTCCGGCCGCTGGGAGCAGCGGTCTCCGCACACAGAAAGGGCCCCCCGGCAGTCACAGTCCCCTCCGCGAAGTCCTTTCAACCCTGAACCTGCGGCGACGCTAATACGCCTCCAGACAGCACACTCACCCCGGTGCCGATGGAGCTCATGGTGAAAACAGAACAGGGACGCGATGGGCTACAAGGCCTAATGCGGGGCCCCTACGCGGCAGAAAGACACAAGCCAGTAACAGACTCTGTCATTGGCTGCAGTTTTGACCAATCACCTCCTCTCTGCGGCTTGTTTCCTTCTTTAGCCTGGTGCTATAGGATTATAGAGCGAGAGGAATCGAGGACCAATGGTGGCGCTAAAGTGCAGAAGCGGTGGGCGTGGAGTTAGGAGCCATCTCCAGTCCCGAGTCATTCAGCCTCTTGTATCCTGTAGGTTGCTTAGGAATGCATCTATTATTTTCACTAGGAATTATCTTGTATAGTATCTCATTGTTGTTGTTGTTGTTGTTGTTGTTGTTATGTGCCGTCGAGTCGTTTGCGACTCATAGCGACCCTATGCACAACAGCCCTAAACCC